GGAGCAATGGGATTTTCTGCATTCATGCAGGTCTTTGCTACGGCTTTGGGCTGAATATGCGTTTGATGAATATGGATGAATAAGTTCAGGGAAATACTTTCACCACAAAATAGCACGATCGATGAATTCCCGGTACAAATGTTTTTTCGACAATGTGCAAATTTTGAGACGTGAGGATTATTGTGGCCTCGGGTGATATGGATTTCGCATTATTACAACTTCACACCAATTCTTTGAAGGATTGGATCATGATTATGGATTTGGAGAATCTAGAACTGTTGAGAAAGTACAAGCGGCGATATCTGCCATTCACTATCTGTCCAATCTATGCCCCGCATTCAGGTATGAATTCTGGACGTCAAACTTCGCGGATGGGAATTTGAGCGAATTCCTCCCATGCTGATTTCCATCTTTACCCATTCACTTTTCCCATTTGCAACCCTGGAGTCTAGGTTTATTTCGACTTTTCGACTTTTCGAATACTTCAGAAAGTAGCAATAACTAGGCGTACAATACAAGAAGTATACATGTTATTTCCTTTCCACTTCCCTGATTTTCCATATTAAACACCAACTTATGTATGGGTACTTCTGCCTGAAAGTTCATAGATATTTTCAAACTCCAATTTTGACTATTAATATTTGTATGTTGTCTTTGCTTGAGTTAATTCGACGTATCGACCATTTGGACAATTCAATTCTTTTAGATGATTTACAATTCTCTAGTCACAAGCCAAAATATTCAACTTGACTCACAGTACAGCATATTGTCATTCAAATAGTCATATCTTCCGCAATTCAATCATCGCCATTTTCTAACCAAAGGACGTTCAAACCAAACAACAACTTTAACGAGAGTATGTATCTGGATCTAACGGATAACGAATACAACAAACCCTAGAAAATGTCTTCCCATCCTTTTCCTCATGCAATCACAATCCTGCAATCCTCACAAGAACAATCTAGACAAACTAGACAATCCGCACGACCAAAACAACATTCACGAGGCCAATCTCAACCTCAAGCTCGATTCATCTCTCAATCTTCGTCTTCGTCTTCGTCTCCGTCTCCGTCTCTATCTCTATCTCCATCTTCAAGCCCACCGCACGCCAATTTCTCAACCTTAAATCCAATACGACATTTCTATTCCTCTCTTCTCTCTTCTCCTCCATTAGGTTCATCACCTGCTACGATTGTTAACTCACCTCTTCCACCGCACCCGGAATCACAATCAGAGTCGAAATCCCAATCACAGTCGCAGCCACAGTGGGAGTCAGAGTCAGAGTCTCAACAGTTACTCGCCCCCTTACCACCGCCACCCTCACCAGCTTCCCATAACTCAAAACAAGCAAAGCGAGCTCGAGCTCGAGCTCTAAGAAATAAAGGTCATCACCCTTCTCTGCCACCGCCGCAACCACCACATCATCACCTACTAGTCCCATTTATCCCTCCATCTTTTTTTGGGGATCAGCATCAACATGAACAAAATCAAAACCCAATATCAGAGCATATCCAAACCCCAACCCAAAACCCAATTCCAAACCTCTCGTTAAACCCCCTTCCCCTCCCCAGCTCAACCACCTACGCCACAACATACTCTCTCCCCTCCCCTCATCCAAATTCCGCCCCTTTCCCCAATTTTCCCATGTACTCTCCCCCCTCTTTCCCATCTTACAATTCCTCCTCCTCCTCCTCCTCCTCCTCCCCTCCCTACTATTCAGACTCCTCTTCCTCATTAATACAATTACGGTATTCACAATCCTACAATGAACTCGACGAACTTCAAGATCTAAGAGTTCGTCGTGCAAAATTGTTTTGTACTGTGTTGACGGGGGTGTTGGTGTTGATGCTTATTGTGGTGGGGGTGGAGAGGTGGGTTGTTTATAGATAGAGTGTTTTGCGTAGAGGCTTGGGTAGAGGGGGTTTTAAAAGAGAGGGGAGAAGAGAACAGAAAAAGAAAAAGAAAAAGGACATAAATGTTACGAGGTTTGCCGTCTAGATCATGTGGAAGTGCTCTAGACTCTTGAGGTGGTTTATAACTAAACGTCAAGCAGGGATTTAAAGTAATGACAATAATGCAATTCGTAACTAATAGTAGAGTATATTAAATGATTGATCTTGAGCATGAAGCTCTATACAAAGGAAATCCATCTTGATTATATAGACCTTCATGCCTATGGCTAGTCAGGACCGCTGCGCGGTCCTGGACAGCCAGCGTTCCTCAGCGTTCCTCAGCGGTCCATAACGTGACTTAATCACGTTACCTTGGTTTAGTCATGTGACGCGACGTGGAAGATAGCCGTCGTAACAATAAAGAATAAATAATGAGGGAGGGGGTTATTAGATTAGTTTATTAATAAATAAATAAAAAATAAAAATAATTTATATGATATTATATATAACTTTAATAGAGATAAAAATAAATAAGATTATTTCTGTGACGCCTCACACC